TCGAAATTGCAGCCGATACGCTCAAGAAACTTCACTATTATGGTCGAAAGATTGAAAACGTTGGGAATGTGGCGATTTGGTTTGGTGGAAAGAAGTAAGTTTGAATTTATCACTTCTTCTAAACGGCTTAACTACTAGGGATTATGCTCTCTTTGCGTTATCATAAATAATCACATTGGCTAAAAGATAATTTTGGACATATGAAGAGAACTCATAACAATCAAAGAAATGCCTCTTAACAAAACTTGCAGACTTTCTGCGGTCTGATCTTTGAAAATCCTTGTAAGTTTCGGTCAGTGTTATTTCAATGACAACTTGAATCCTTTGTAATTTTTTTCACTAAGCATTTCACAGAACTTATACTATCAAAGTCACGAAAGTGAATCTCCGTGCTAGGTACTGACCCACATTTAACCTATTCCTTAATCGCAACTTTCGCAGTCTGATAGAATTTTGAGCATTATCTTTTTGAAGAAAAACAATAACCTTTTTTCTACAGAACGACCAGTACGAAGAAATTTAAGCGAGATCACGGAAATTGTTTCTTAGGCAACTAGGTCGTCCAAATTCTTTCTGGAATCATTTTCAAGGTTTACAGGCTCATTTTGTTCACTCGACCAGCATTGTCCCTGACTTAACCATAATATTTCGCAGCATTTTTCCCTGATTTGTAACCTAAGTAGACACATCCGCACTCTTTCTGGAGTAACATTGCTTGATGTCAACCTTTCTGGCGTCCTTTTGAGAACACTATTATCAAATTACAGAATATCCGTCAAAGCCCTTGTAAAGAACCTTGGTGATCAGTTCAATCTGCCCACTACCGTTGTCAAAGATCTCGATCTGGATCATTTTGTCGATCAAGCTATAAAAGTTGAAGAAGGAGAAATAGAAACACTTCGGGTAGGTGAAAGCTGATTTATGAGATACTGGCAAATTATATACGTGGTGGGCATCCTCGGGCTTGTAGCTACTACACTGACTGTACTGACACATGCCTTAAATATTAGGATTTTGCAAAAATTGAGATATGTAAATTCTATAGCATTAAGTATACCACATGCCCACATAAATAACTATAAAGGGCAGTCTGACATAAATGTTGATTTTTTTGGATTTATTTTTTCTTGCCAAGATTTACATCTAACAACATCGCTCAGCTTGGCTTAAATAAGAGTGTGCTGGAAGGACGACACTTATTTGTAGTCAACTATTGGTATAAAACATGCCTTTTTCAGCCGCCACCTTTCGAACCAGAGAACATCCAATCAGTTTATATGGATGAGCCTTCACAAGGTCTGTTTTTGAAGTGCATAGTATTCAGAATTTCAACAATTTCTAATAGAACTTATTTTTGAACATTAGATAGAGTGCTTGTTCTTCTAACTCTTTACGTTTAACCTTTTATGAAACAAGCTCATTCTTTCTAAAAAATCATTTTGAAACTTAAGAGTTAAGCAGTTTTTTCACAACTACAAATTGGAGATTACATCATCTTGATCCAACTTCGTTCTGGATGAATGCATAGTATATTGTAGTTATCAGTTTGAGTTTTTATTGAAAGTTAGTGGC